CATCTCTGTCATGAGATTCGTCGCTTATATGCGCTTTAAGTTATTATTTTACTCAAAATAGTACCAGCGATAGCGTTGGACAACACCATTAGTACTTAGTAGCTGCACTTCTACAGCGAAAAAAAATTGTATGTTCCTATCTTATAAAATTTTTAATTTAATTCAAGTAATTTGGTTCATTGTCAGAATGTCAGTGGCAGTTATTAGTCAGTGGCACCAGTTATTGTGGTCACAATCAGTAAACACCCACCACCGGGTAGCATTAAATTATGGGGGGGGGGGTCACTAGTGTCACGTTTTTTGGATGCTAAAGTAATATACTCTGATAATAGTATACTATATATTATCATATATATAGATATAATGTATATTATATTATGTATGTAAAAATGTATACACATACAATATAGTTAATAGAGGTGACTAAAATAATATTATTGTCATGATTCAAATCTTTGGGGCTCCTAACATTTAGTTGGCTTTAATGTTTAAGTCCCTCTTCGTTATTCCGTAGCCAGTAGGTACAAATGAATTTATAACAAAACGTTAAATATGTAAATATTCTTTCGAGACGTACATCAAGCCTTATTATTATTGTGGAATGTGTAACACGCTGTAGTCGTTTTACACATACACCGAGAAGTGACGACCATGCAAAGACGAAGGGTTTGAATTCGATAGGGCGCTGATTCAGCTATAATATGTGTGGCCTACGTATAATATACCTATATAGTATACAAGTATACCGTATGTCCGTATACAATAATATATTGTAACACACAATAAACGCATTACCACATTATAAACGCTGCAGAACCTCTCATGTCTCAGTGTCTCGCCCCAATGACTAGTTGCCCACTCGAGGACGCCAAGCAATATTCACCCTTATGCACTACACGTATATGTATAGAGTTTAGTTTATACTGTTCATTTAACACAATATAAACATCGGTTAAACTACTGCGGTTCTTGGAACTGTGCAGGGCACGGTGTTAAAGCGTAATAATATTATGTAGCGTCAAACATACGCGTCGTATAGTTTGCAAGCGATTTGACTTCAATATTTTAATACGAGTATAATATGACGTATCAATAATACAGGTATTCGGTACAAATGGTTTGGAGTAAGGTTCACTTGAGACGTAAATAGTGTATGATGTACTTCAAGAATTAATATAATATTATGCTCAGACTCCAGGCCAACAGGTGAAATTATCACCTGCAGAATCGTTTTATAATGTATATACCTAAATATTGAAATACCAATATAACATTATTCATCTTCTAGTTGTTTCAGTATTCAGTACGTAGACACTAAACAGTATTAGTGTATTACTATTTACTAGATAATATATACAAAATCTTATTTGTGATTGTTGAGTAAGTTAGGTTAGAGTAAGTACAAAATATAATATTATTCTTGTGATAGATACATTTATTATATTCTGTACCTTACAATACGTCTACACATATCACATATGTTTCCAATATGTATATTATTATCATAATATATTACATTGTATAATTTATTATACTATTACATCATATATATGTATAATACTCATATTATATTATGCAGATATTATTAGTTCAAAAAATCTTAAATAGTTAACCCGTTGTCCAATTTTGCATTATCATTCATTCACATTATACTTATTTGGTAATTAGGTAGGTACTCAATATTACTTATTTAGATTTAGTAATAAAACTATAGTACCATACAGTATCCAAATTAATCGGTAAAAACAAAGGGAAAAGGAAAACACGTGTATAATGGTTCATTAGTTTGTATGATAATTGATTTAACTAAGATTTTTTTTAATGTTATTTTAGTTTAAAATATAATTATAATTACTAATTATATCCAATTTTATTAACAAAATAAATTGTTGCCAATGTTTATAAATCATTTTACGTATACGTACTAGATAGGATTTTTTATATTCTACGCTGTAGAAGTTTTAGCAACCTAATTATTTTTAATTTTTCCAAAGTCATTGTTATATTTTAATTTTTACTATATTATATAGATTCTTATTAGGTACCGCAATCTGTATATATAGGTAGGTACCTAAAAAGTAATAATAAAAATTATTTAAAATTTTTGGGGCCTTGAACGGTACCCTGAACCCGAGGTTATAGGTTTATATCCAGAAATCTCACCTAATTGGTATATATATAATATTGACGTTTATAATATAATATATATCATATATGTATTAAAAAGTGTATGGTGATTTATTTTACTGTAGCGGTATGGATACCTAGTTAATACATACATGAACCTTCCCAAAATCCCAAATTCTAATTCCTCTCTAATAAATATTGAACAAAATTCTAAAATAATGATTACCAATATGTTATACTATAAAACTACTAACTTTTTATTATTTTTTTCGTTAATGAAATATAATAATATATGATATTTTTTAATCAGAAATTCAGAAACAGTATGAGGTGCATATATTATGTAAAGGCGTACCCATAGCTTGACTGAGTTATAAACTAAACTGTATTGAAACATTTTATGACAGAAATTAAAATAAAATATTAATTTAATTTAATAGCACATTATTATTATCCGTGATAAACAATTAGTTTTACATTTTTGTACTGAAAGGATAAATTTATGAAAAATTATTTATTAAAGTATGAACAATGTGCAAAATTTAAAATGTGTTTGAATTATAATTAACAACAGTGTACCTATTTCAGAAACATACGAGGTAGGTGCTTTATTATTATTTATCATCAGAAATACACATTGTGTAAAGTACTCATTGAATTTAGTTTTTGAGTTCCTATATATATTATAAGAATATTATGTAGGTACTTCAAAAAAGTTGCATCAAGTTTCAAGATATTTCTATTTATAATAATGATATACTCGCGTTCGTACCCACCTACTCGTATTGTAATTAAATCGAAAGTATTTCATCGGAATTTTTTCTATAGAATTGAACGGGCTCGTGAAAAAATGTTTATTATTGAAGTATTTTTTTTCTGTTTTTTTAACTTAACCTTAGAGCTCAGCAGTGGTGGCGCAAACTTTTTGAATCTTTGAAGAAAATTGTGCATTTTTAATATTTTTAGCACCAACCATCCCCTTTATTACACCAAAATGATAATAAATTACATATATTAGATTATATTAACTATAATATTTATTATGATAATTATAGTGTTGTGGCAAGGCTGTAGCCAGGGGGGGGGGGGTCCCTACAGTCTTATATTAAGGTGTCACATTTATATCACCCAGCTATATTAGACATGAAGCAATTGCTTTAAATAGTTCTATATCCCACGGCCACTGGCGCCCAGATTTGAAAATGTCCTAGATGTAAAATTAAGTGCAGCTTACTATTAGGTAAGTCTGTCTCTAGTCTCTACAATCGAATACCTAAATACAGGCCACAGGCTGATTCACCAAGCATTCTCACTCCCTGTTTTCTTCAATAATGCAGTGATTCAAACTCTGATTTGGAATCATTTTCACGTATACTAAAAGACGTATTTGAAGATTTTTGAGATTTAATGTACTACTTAAGGAGTGCCCTATACTTTTCTGGAGCCACAAACTTCTGTTATTCAAATCACCAATTTATACTGTAGATTATTTAACAGTTAATTATTCTGAAAATGTTGAAGCACCAAATTAAAATTCGAACAAGTAGTTGTTGAGTTATTTATCTCAGTGTACTGTATTACCACTGGTCTTAAGTTGTACAAAAAAATCTCAAGAATGGTCTAAAAACATGGTCTTTAAGTAAGTATATGGAAAATTCCTAAATTCAGAATTTGAATAAATTTATTGATAAAGGAAAAAAATAGAGCGAGGTTGGTGGAATCATCCTGTGGTAGCCTGTTGGTACACTGTACCAGATATTATGGTCGTATATAATATGGTTTAAACTCCACTTATTTTCTTTCGAAAGGACTTAGATGCTGAAATATGGAAAAAATGATAATTTCAAATGTAGACTTAAGGACTGTAATATTTTGTAATGAAAATATGCAAAAGAAATGTTTTTGACCATTCGGGCTCGCAGTAGCCTGTAACTGAGTCTGCAATAACCTATTATAATCCAAGGAATAGATAAAATTGTAGTAACTTTATAAGTATAACTAGACTAAATTATAGAAAAAGAGTTAAAAATATTCACCTAGATACATTTTTACTTTTTGTTTACAAATTATATTTTGACTTGAAAATTGTAATTATATATGTAGGTATATTATAATTTATAGGTAGTCAAATGCCGCAATGTGGACTTTTAAATTAAAATCACACACATTTCATAAAATAACTTCAATTTTATAAGGTATCCATTAATTAACATATTTTGTTTTTTTTTTCAAAATTATACATATTTAATTACGTTTACGTGTGCCCATATTCATATAGTACCTACCTAAGAACAGACCTACAGTGAGCTCAATACGGTTTTGGGAGGGCAATTTTAAATTGAATGGTTTAGCTCCCTCTACCTTTTTCCAGGACGCTCGTGTACATAAATAAATAACATTGTAGTCCCTCAGAATTTAGATGAAATTTATTATGTGAATGGCAATGCAAATTAAAATATAAAAACCCATATTGTTCGATTTAAAATGATGGTTTTGTCATAAATTACGGCGTTTCTTTTTTCTGTTATGAATGCTAGTTGCTATAGTATGCATACATACTAGGTAAAGCCGGTAAATGTAATAATAATAATAATAATAATAATAACAAAAACGAAACGCTATTCCACGGAGCGCGAACTACGGCAGCTGCAGCTGCTCAGTGCCCACTGCTTCCGTTTGCCGCTTTGACGAATTTTTCTTATTCACTATTATTACTATTATATTAATATTATACGTCATAGTGACGACGACAGCCGGTCGGTCGAGTCTACGGCGTTCCTATGGCGCGGCGGAGGGCGTGTTTTGCGCGCTTTACCCACTCGTACAACGACCAAAGACTGATTACGCGACGGACGGCTGTGTGATAACGATCAGTAGGTAACCGCGCTTGTGTGTGTGGTGTGTCGGACTGTGCAGTCGGCCGTCGTGCGCGCTCGGAACTTATTTGTTATTATCATCTCCGTCGTGTTTATCATAATAATAATAATAATAATTATAATACAATTAAAATATAATATTATTATAACATTACAATAATATCGTTAGTATAATAGTATACACAAGTACATGACAACTGCTAGTGACGTCGGGTTACTCCAGTTTCCAGTACGCTTACAAACGGCCTACACTGACCTGCGGCTGGCCACTACAGGTAGATAGTGCGACCGAGTGAGGAGCCGTTTTGTTATTTGGTTTACGTTCGATTTTTTTCTCCTCCAACCGGCGTTGGAGAGGCAAATTCTTCGGATACGCGTCTGTTCGGTGCTCGTTTCACGGTTTTCGGTAGGTAGTTCACGAAATCAAAACTCCGCGACGCCTCGGCACAAGACCTCATGACGTTATTATATTACCTTCCTCAGGTTCGCATATCGTCATCTTTCGATTTTTCTCAGTGAGAAAAACGTCCGCCTGACCGGCAGCCGACCATAACGACGATATTTAACTGCTGAAACGGACCAATTAAAAACGAGGGCAGCAGCAGAACACCTGTCGTTGCAGAGTTTTCCTTTTGTCCACAACTTCGTTTGACGCAGTGCCCCCAACTACCCCCGTTCGATCGCAAAACACTAACCCCGCCGCTCAGGGATTTTGATTTCAATATTTTCCGTAAGTAATTTATTTGCTTGTTTTATACGACCACCCTGCCTAGTAGGTAGTGCTTGCCAAGTTTTTGTATCGATATATTTAGTGTGGATAGAAAATGTGCCCACCATATGCTCACTACACATTCCGTTATCTACCTACTATGTAATAATTGATGATAGTTATGATAGTAATTATCATCTTCCTACCTACCTTTTTTTTCTGTTTTGAGCCCAACGACAACAAGGGGATTGTTATTGCAGTGAATCCCTCACATAATCATCCACTTAATGCTAAGAATATTACTTATTTTTGATGAGCCAAAAACATACTCAATTTTATTACTTACTTACCAGTTTTGTGAGTAGATGATATAGTTTTCTAAATCATAAGCCCATGGGTCAATTTAACCATATCATATAAAAAAATTTAAAATTAATTTATTACCCAATTTATTATGACCATTCGTACCTATAATGTTGGTAAGTATTTGTATTTACATACATATATTTTGATGTTTTCATAAAAATACCAACAGTGAGTGAGGTCTTATAAATGTATAATTACCTACCTATCATTTACTGATATTTGTACTTTAGGCTCTGTATGTTGTATTATAATATTATACCTATAGAATAAACAGTAAATACATAAGTACATATTGTAGGTACATTACAGTATTACACTACCTAATTTAAATGTTTCTAATGACTGATTTTAATTTTTGGCTCCTACTATTGGAATGGCAACAAAATAAAATTGTCCGGGTTATAAACGATATAAGTCAAACAAACTTATACCCTACGAGGTATATTAGATTACACACTTTATGTGATGTCTTGTAATTATTTATCCATCATGGTTCATAAATCATTACCTATTATTATCTACTTATAGTTTATTATTTTGATAAAAATATTTGTCATATGTTTAATTTATAATATCAGCTTTAGCTTGTGTTGTAAATAATAGTAATATAGGTAATCCAATTATCCAATATTCCAATCACTCAATACTCCAATTAAAGCTCTAATGATTAATATTATTTAATTTTGCTTATTACCTAGTATAGGTACATAATATTATTATTTTATAATATAATGTAGGTATATTGTGTACTGTAATGTAGGCCATATTGTACGAAAAAAGGTATTATAATTTTTAGTTCTTATGATACTAATAGTTAATTTTAATTCACGAAGTAAGACATGTTATGGTTGACATAAGCATCAGATTTTCTTGTTTGGGGAGGCCTACCTCCCCATGAATGTAGTGTTATTATTGTGTATATTGATCTATACAGACTATACGGTTAGGCTAAACATATAAATACCGCAACAGTTTTCAATAAGTATTTTTTGATAATAATACTGTCTTCAAAAAACAACAAAATAGAGAACATAATTTAAATCCCAAACTTTCAAAATAATTTATATAATTTTAGTTCATAGTTTTTGACAGTAAGGTTAAATATTTTAAAAACTTCTATGACTTCTTCATAATCAGCACTATATGCTTGATCCCGAGCTTGATCCTATTCAATAAACATATTTAAGAGTCCATCTAAACTTTCTTGACCCTTAGTACTTCGCCGCATTGTTTTAACAATATTTAGTTTTGAGAAGAATCTTTCACAGGTGCAACTTGTTACCTGTATAGTAACAAATAATAACTTTAATTATAAAAAGAAACTATTCTGTCTATCGCAACAAGTTTATTCGTTCTTCACATTTATTGTTCAATACATTTGTAAAATTTTAATACTGATTTGCGGTTAGCCTATCGTATGAGAAGTCGGTATTGTCATTTGTCACAGAACAAACCAGTAGCCACAGTTGAAGCTGTCTTATCAGTTATCATTAAGAAAATATGTATAATAAGTATATATTTATATCTATATAAAATATGTCTATTATAAAATATAATACTACGATAACTGATCAATATTAGATACGACATAATTGTATTAGGTATTTTCTATATTGAGATTGAATACTGGAAATATTTTTAAGAAACAGTAATATCAGTACTTTGGCGGAAGATCTTGTATGAGGCAACTACCTACCTTTCCACCCCCGCGCTCGGACTTATGAATTTATGGTGGTTGAACAATAACACATATAAAACTAGAATTTAAGTGTTTTTTTTTTTTTGTAAATAGAAATAAAAAAATAATACCCATCACATATAAAATAAACTTAACTACATAATATCAAGTATAGGTACCTATTTAGTATTTACCTTATTTAAAAAAAATGAAATTACTTGTAGCTTACAATATTATTGAATATTAATAAACTATCTAAACAGACATTATTTAATTTAAGTGCTTCTCTAATCATACTTTATCTTAAAATGCTTGGATATATTTTAATGTTATTTTGTATTTTACTAATTATTAAATAGGTATGTCAATTTATCATAACAATTACTAGCTAATAAAAGTATAATTATAAACTATTTATATCTTCGAACTTTAATATCAGGTCATGTCTCTTATTAAAATATGTGTTTTAAATTGTATTATTTAGTCTTTAAATGTATTTACCAAGATAGTATCTAGGTACCTCCATCAATAAAAATATTAGTAAAATCTTATTATGTAAATTGTATTTTTAGTATTTTTAGTATTATAGTATATTTTAATATATTAATACACAACTAAATTATTAATTTGAACCTCTACCCCTATAAGATCTTTAAATATATGGTGGTTGCTGCTCCTTGTACATAAGTCGGGTGCCACTGTAGCGGTGTATACTTAAACCCCCCACCAAAAGTTATTAAATATATTTTTTTGAATATTCTTCCCTTATTTCCAACGTGTAGCAACCATTACATTAATATAAATATTATGACTAAATATCCATTCATTTAAATTGGTTTTAAAGTTAATTTACTTGGGTATAGATACCCATTACCCACCCCTACACCATGTATATGGGTTGGACACCCCTGAAATGAATAATATCATCATCTTCTATTAGAACAATTAATGGTCTTTATTAGGCGACTTGAAAAAAGTCATTTTTTCATTATTTTATTACTATTATATTTTCGCTTTGTTAAAATTTGATATACATATTTGTAAAATGTAAAAGTTCTTTAAAATATACATAATATATTACATACACCCAATGGCCATGGCGTTGTTGCCGCTGGTTTGATTAATAAAAAAAAATAAATAAATACGTAATTTATTTTTTACTTTATTCTTAACTGCATATTATATTTGTCACGTTATGCTAATGTGTTATCTTGTTATTTTAATTTACTTAAAAGTTTATATGTGTAAATTAAAATTACAAGGTTTTTGTTACTATGAGGATAATAAATACATTATCGTATTATTCTATATTTAATACGAGTTAATTTAATCACACTGATAAGTATTTAAATAAAATATAAATATTATATTATGCAAGTGTTTGCGTTAGTAAAACTGCAAAATACATAAAATATTGTTTATACTATATGAGGTGTACAGAAAATTACGACTATTGTTTCAATTTACATTTTCCTATTGATTATTTTTAAAAATCAAATTTGTTATTGTTTTATAGGAATCGATTATATAATAGTTGACAGTTGTATATAATAATGTTATCATCACATCGTATTTGTTGCAAAAATAAGAGTCTAGACCCCACAACGGAAATTATTGGTGTTGTGGGTTATTGACCGTTCGTGAATGAAGAAGTTTATGAGTTTATAAGTTTATTTATGAGTTTGACATTAATATTTTATCTATAACTTATAAGTACAACTGCTCAAGTATTGTTATTGAAAATGTGTACACCGTATACGTGAACTGCGAAGACGAGTTCTGAAAAATCCTATTGTTAGAAATGATTAATAAAATATATTCAGTATCAAATTAATAATTATTAATTAATATTTTAATAATTATTAAATATATTTGTATATCATATACTAAGATAATTCAATCTCGAGTTTAAATTATTGTATTACTATTTTTGTGTTAAATCTGAACCATTTTTGCATTATTTTAACTCTTGGTAATGAGTTGTATTTGAAATATTGGTACTATTTTCCATGTCAACTATTTTCTGTATTTGATGCATTTTTAATGTACCTATGATGTTTTTTCAACAATATTGAAGAAAACTAGAAAAATCTAATTTCATTAGAAGCAATATTATACAATTGAAAGTTATTTATAACAAATTGGTTCAGTAAAATAATTTAATTGGCTAGATTCCAAACAAGATTAAATACCTACGTGGAAATTATCCATTAGTTTATGGTTAAAAAATTACTATAATATAAAATAAGTAACTTAATTAAGGACTAAGAATGAAGAATTTAAAATATTTTCTCAACTGAATCTGAGTAACCAAAAACTAGAAAAAAAAAATCCGTGGTTTTTATATTTTACAATATTATTCACTATACAACAGTTTCGGATGATATTTTTGATAACATGGGCATAGGATGGTTGAATGAATTCAACTAATGCTGGATGACCGGATGCATTTCGTTCATTATCTAATTTGTTTTGACTTAAATAATACAAATAATACTTGTTATTATTTTAAAAAATCTATTCTATTTTAATAGTAAAATTAATTTTTGTGATATCGTACCATTCATCAATAAACTAAAATATGTACGAGTATAAGGTGATTAGGACGTCATATCCCGAACGTGTTGTCTCGATCTAAAGCTCAAGTGCATAAGAGTCAATTTTACGTTTAGAATCAGTATACTTATTTTACTATTATTTTTAATATTGGACGGATTCACAATTTTGAAATGCTCACTGTTTGTTTTCTCTCCCTGGCCTACGCGCAACATAGACAGAACACATTTATGCAGAATAATTTTTTTTATGCTTTTGAATAATCTTAGAGTAAAATCACCCATTACACAATTGATAGAGAATAATTTTTTCGAGGGATTGATGTATCGGTTTGTCTAAATATTGTCTCAAAACAATTTAAACATCATTTAAATTTACAATATATTTTTTTTATTTTGAAAATCGAATACTCAGTCAAATAATGATATAATATACAAAACCGATGTCACCTTCAAAAATACTGTCTTCTAACTTTTGTAATAGGTAATTTTACTCTGAGGTTACTCAAAAATCATAAAAAATGATTTTAGGTGAAAACGTTTTATCCATTATGTTGCGCATGAGTCTGAGAAAAAACAAATATTGCGCTGACATCCTCTTAAAATTAAAATCCACATCCTTGGATCTGACGATAATACTTCAATTCACTGTAATATTAAAAATTACTGAATAAAGTGATTATTCTAACTAAAAAATTTGTTACCATTTGGTATGTTATTGCGTAAGATAGACATCCCATTTAAGTACACCCCCTCCCCCGTCTTCTTAATATTTTTTTATTCAGATGTTTAGTAAAATATCTCGTGAAATAATTATAAAATACTAACATTTTTAAATAGTTTATATGAATGTAAAAATAAAATATCCAAATTTTTGCGAATTTATTTAATTTTAATTTTTATACTTTTTTATAATTTAAATTAGAAACATATAGAGGAATAATAATAATTTTAATTACATAAATCATTCAAATTTCTTTCAATATTTAATTATTTTTAATCGTTAAAATACATTCCACTGTAGACATAATAAAAACGCTATTTGTATATTTTAGTTTAGATATAGATACACATAAATTACATCGTATATCGCATGCCCGTTGGCTCAATTTATTTTAATAGAAACAATAATTGCAATATAAATACTTCCTTTACGCTTTCGTGTCAATAAAAAAAACTGCCCAGCTATCTAACAGAAGGTTAAAATAACCTACATTAAATTTTTGACAGCTTCTTTTTCATGAATAACAATTTGTATTATAATTGTAACTTATATTATATGTAACGTAGTCGCTCGACCTTTGGCACTCCTATTTATATTATACTTCATAGTTCATTATGATGTATTGATGTGTGTTAATATATAGTATTTTGTTTAAAGTATTTTTGTCAAACACCGCGCGGGTTCTGTTTCCTGTTACCGATATATTATGGTGTTTACCATGTTTTTGTGTATTATGATCTAAGGTGTTTACACTTTCCTTTATAGTTTATACTATACGCAATTATATTTTGATTGTAACACTTTCCCCCTAAAATATACCTATGAGCTAAATAAACTAAATAACTTGTACATTCATTCTCGAACCAATTACTTATATATAAAAAACTGATATGTACCTATGATAGTGTTGAATCGAATGTTTTGCCTTACACTTTACATGAATAAATAACTGAATAATAAAAATATATCCAATCAATAATTTTTTAGTATTCTAGGAATTGTCTTATACTATACATGCCGCAAACTATTTTATGACATTACAATTTTGATTATAATAAATTAATAAATAATATTTTTGAAACATCGTTAAATAATTGAATAGGTTTACCTATTGTTTTATAGTTATTTTCTATTTAAGCAATTGTATTTATAGTTTTATATTGAAATGATTTGTTTTTATTTACAGACTGTTTGTATAATGAATATCAGTTATCTATGGCAAAGATGAGGTATGCAGATAATATGCCCAGAGATGTATCTATTGATAATTTCCCTTCGCTCAACGTGTCTGAGGTAACGTTTTCACAAATGTATTATATTAATGTACCTATCTACTATCTACCTTATAAATTTATTGGTTTTTAAAATTTTATTTACCGTGATTGTACAGTGTATAAATGTATATTATCTAAATACTAAGATGTATAAAAATATAAATTCTAATATTGTCGGTATATTATTTTTAAATAAAGATGAAAAATAAGTAAATTGAGAAGAAGAATATTATAACAATCACATTGTACTATTTTTTTTACTTAGATTCTTTTTAGCTGTCATGTGAATGACTAGACTAGTAGAGGTATACATTATATTTTTTTAATGTAAATATGAAACATTCAAGGTTATAAGGATTTTACAAAATAAACAAACTGAATTTAACAAATACTTTTATTTGTTATTAACTTATTAATCTGTGCAGTATGGTTCTAAAAGTAATGTATACATAATATAATGATATGTATTAAGTTATTAGTGTATTACTTAAATAATATACTATTATAAAAAAAATAACTTATCGTAATCGAATATTTCAAAGAAATTAGTGTAGATATTTAAAATCTAGTTCAATACAAATGCGTTTCATGGTGACACGATGTGAAGGTTCCATTTAAAAAAATGTTTGGATATTCGGATATTTTTATTTATATCATAGTATGGAAAAACATTTTCTTATTATTTTATGACTATGATGCGTGACTGGCAGGTTATAACGATTGTTATTATTTAGATTACCGCCTAGAAATTACACGACACATCTACTTTTGGAAGGTATTACATTTGTAAATTTGAGTGTTTTTGCAATATTAATCCCTTTAGAAAAGAGATTAAATCCTTTTGAAATCAAAAATAATAATGTCTTGTTTATTTATTTACCTTATACGATAAAATGTGGGATATCACTTGTTGCGTTGTGCTAATTTATAATATTATATCGTTTCAGTATTTTTCGTGCATATTTATGTGCATATATGTATCAGCTTTTTACTTTTTATTCATTTTAAAGGAATATATTCCCTTTATTTTAACGATTTTATACTTATAATTTTTGGATAGCAAATTGGAGAAAAGTCCCAAATATGTTTCAAATAATTAATGAATGAGTCGTAAGCAAGTCAAAAATAAAAATAGCAAGTATAAATGGTACCTAATACTAGTGTCAACAGTATCTATGTATTCTTATACAAAAATGACAGCTGCTGCTGCTAACATGGGTATAATATTGTGCATTTGTGCAGTACTACCTACTGGCGTATTGAAAGTTCATTGCATCTTGTGAAATTTATGATTCATTATTCAAGAATAACTTTGTATATATCAAAATTTAAATGAACATTGGTGTAAAATTATAAATTATACAAATATTGTAATGTGTAATATGTATTGAATTTGATAGCTGGTTATTGCCTTAAGTAAATTTTTAACCTTTTAGATTAACAAACGACGAATAATAATATTATGTTATCTGCAAGTGTTAACGGAGATTCAGTCTTCGGTAATCGGTGTCATATAAAATACTAAAATGTATAGTCTTTATTTTATGTTTGGGTATTCAGAATTATTTTCTAAAAAACTCAATTGTTTAAATATTATGGTGTTCTTTAAGCGTGAAGTAATTTGTGCTTGTTGTCGTGTCAGCTGTATTCATAATTTATAGTTTCACTCGGTTTATAAAAACTAGTCACAAAAGAAAAATACCCTCATCAGCCCAAATAATATAATATAATATAATATATTTATATTTGTACCTCCGTCATTATACGAATATTGTTATTCATCGCCTCTCCCCATATATTTTCTTCAAATCTTGTTAGTCCAACTTAAGATGGATTGCACACAAATGATTTCTAATTAAAAATATCCCATGTATATATGTACTTATTTAGAATTATAATAATTTCAATGGTATTAAATGATTATTATAATAAACTCATAATTGGTAAAAATTAAAAACTATAGGTAGCACTAATAACTAATATTATCACCCAGATCGGGTTGGTATACTTAATTCCGAATTTAAATATATAAACGACTAAGTGGTTGATCGGATTAAGTTAAAGATTATACAGGGTGATCCACCAAGCATGTCCGCGATTTTTCTTTCAATAATGTATTTGTTTAAATTTTTATTTTTGAATTTAATTTTTAATAAACTGAGGTATTATATTTTCAAACATTTAAGTATTTATACAAATTTGAATAGCGTCCTGTAGCGAAATAAACTTGATTTTTCAAAAGTGAACTACTTTTATTGGAAAATATTGTATAAGTATAAGAATAGAAGATGATTTGTTGAAAATATTGATGTATATCGAAATTCGAGCTATTAGTTTTCGAGTTATTTCTTTAAGTAATAAGTACTGAGGATCTGTGTGAATTCTCCGGGCATACGCCGCAATAAAAATATAATTAGTAAAAATACAAACATTATTTTATCATCAAATTATACCTATAATACTAATGTATTTCTATTAATACATTATGACAAATGACCATGCTTGTATTTCGGAGTCAGCGTTTACCACTACTATAGTCTCTAAAGATATTGGATCGTCTATGATAATATGTTTAAGTATATACTTTAGACGTTTAGAAGATATGGAGGTTATAAATTATAATCATTTGAAAATTATTGCAGTAATTCATATCCGTTTATTACAATTTTATAATTTATAAACTTTGTCCGGACTCCAAGTAGAATAAGTACTAGAAATAGACTAATACCAATACCATTCGAGTTTTGAGTCTAATCTATACTCTAAAATACCTTCTAATGTAGGCATGTGGCTATGTTACATTCTAGAAACTAAACTTTTATAATAAGATGCGTTAATATTTCTAAAAAAATCACCAGACCAACAATGATATGAATAAATAATAAGTAAAAAAGAGTGGTCCTCATTTGAAAAAAATAAGTTACGTTTGTATCACTAAGGTACCAAAAGGTAAATAAAATATGGTACTTATTTATGTTTATGGTCCCCCGCCGAGCTATATAAAATTTATCACTCCGTCACCGGTTGACCGTTCGTTATTATACTATGCTATTTTTTATAATATACTGTAACATAACTTTGAAGTTATAATAAATAATAATCATAATAAATTATTTATAGTTAATACTTTAATAGTAGTATTGTTAATAATAAATATTTCATAATTACACGTTCAAAAAATAAGACAGTTTTCTAGAGATCTTTAAATGGCACACATTTTATTTGTTTTTTGATTTTAAAATTAAATATCAGTTTTAAATATTGCGGGGAAATAACTAATCAAAATTAATTTTGAACAATACTTTAAAAAAAGCTAATAAGGTTTGTAAGATAGGTATCCACTTTTAATTACACATGTACAGGTACAAGAAGAAAACATACTAACACATACAAATATAATAAAATACAATTTCAAATATTATAAGAAATATTTACCCTTTTTCAACAAATAGATCTCGTCAACCGTCGTGGCGTCGTATGATACTAACCTACATAAAAGATATAGCTACAGACAAATATTGGTCATGATTATCGAAATTTTAGACTTTAGATTAATACGGGGTGTAAGACGATTGCGTCCTACCTTTTTGCATGCAAAAAACGCATCACAATTGCTCTCAAAAAATTAGCACGAGTGCACTCGTTTTTCCTTTTTACCTACAAATAACGGAACACAATTTTGGTCAGTAAAATATAGGTCCTTGCAACCTTACAACAATTTTCCAATACACTATTTAAAAATACAGTCTGAGTGGTAAACTCAAAGTGATGGTAGAGTTATAAATTGTATACAGGTTAGTGGAGGGAAGATAGTAAACAATAGTACCTTAATAAAATACTCCTTAAGTGGTATAAAAATTCAAAGATTTGAAAATATGGTTTTTAAAATTACTTTAATATTGGTAACAGTGCGTTTTATGTGATCTGTATGTAGTTTGCTGATGTCGTAAACGATCTACAATCTGTTTTACTAGGTAACGCCTAACCTCTAATAATAAAAGCCACATTTGTAGACCCATAAACTGGAGCTCATACTGCCATATCCACATTTTATGTTTAATATATTATGAAACAAAAATGTTCTTTGCGTGCCAATAGAGGCATGGAGTTTGAAAGGCGGTTGCAAGTATTATGGTTATAGGAGATCTATGCATCCATCAAAGGATTCAATAATCCACGATTTTCTAAATTAAACGAAACCAACTTTTTTTATTAATTAATATGGTTTTAGTAATAATAATGTTTCAATACAACATTTTTTTTAAAAAGGATTTGATACCGCGATTGTCTTTGTCTAACACACTCGAGACATAGGATTTTAGACTTATTTTTTTTTGCCAAACGTACCAATTGATCTAATGAAGCGTTAAGAATTCTGAAAACAGATTTAAATTTGTCGTCGACTACTTGAAGTGGACTTTCCCTAGTTTTTGATATTATCCCTCAAATTTCTACAAACGTTATATTAAAAGAGAATAATTAAAAAATCGTCGTATTTCAATTTTTGGAGAAGTTAAACTCAAAAAATCATAAACGTGGGAAAATCTATCTTAAGTAGACTTGACAACAAATTCAAATCTGTTTTCAGAATTCTTATTACTTTACTATATCAATTGGTACGTTTGGCAAAGAACATGCCTAAAACCATATGTCGCTTGTGTGTTAGACGGAGACAGAAAATCACGGTATCGAATCCCCTTAAATGCATTTTTATAAATTGTTTGTTCGTTTTTTATGTGATTTTTTGTAATAACATTTTACTTAACCTGATTTTTCATAAATTAATATAAAGTAATAATAAAGTTTACTTTAATTATTCGTATGAACTATTAGAACGTATTTATTTTGATAGATTGCTTACGACACCAGTGAGTTATGAAGAACACGGTTGTTCGTTAGGTACTTAAGTACCTAAATTTTCCAAAAATCAGAATTTTAATAAATGCATTATTAAAGGATAAAAGTCTAGCCCACCCTCCAAAAAACAATTGTAGACCTATAGGTAAATACTAAAGACCTATTACTTACTGGCGCCAATGGTGTTATACATGTATAAAGTGTGTACTTATATCAATTTTAAAATAACGTAGAATATGAATCATTCGTAATTTAAATTGTTAAGCTTTACTTGAATCAATGATGAAATCAGGATGGTTGTATTATATACTTTATAATCAGACGATAATAGTAATGTAGTGTTAATAAATGAATTTATGAACTTATATAACCTTGATATTGGAATTTGGATGGGTGCAGTGAATGACGAGCAATTGAAGTGTTAAAAAGTCATGATTTACAAATTTGGTGTGTAGAACGAAAACTGAATTAAAAGGATGCTACCCATGCATTTGTTGTCTCCGTCTTACACACGAACATTTTCATTCACTAGTTTCAATAGTGTGCTGTTAGTTTTGATATTTGAGTGAATTCAAATAGTTTTAGGTATGAACATTATCCATGCTTAAGCGTCGGCGGATTTTTGGATATTTTAATTTTCAAGCGAGGTATGAGAATTTTTGACTTGTGTTATTTCACATACTTGTATCTAGCCTGAAAATGAAAATATCGAAAATCCGCCGACACTTAAGCAGCAATAAGCATAGATAATGTTCTCACCTAAAAGTTTCACTGTCCTTAAATTCACTCTAATATCAAAACTAACGACACGCTATTCAAACTAGGGAACGAGAATTTGCTATCTCGTAAGTTGGTAAGACGGAGACAACAAACGCGTGGGTAGCATCCTCTTAAGTACTTAATATTATTTATCAATACAGGGTGTACCTGCAAGCCACTATACCGATTACCTGCAATTTGTTCCAAACCATAAAATGAGCCTTAAGATGTGTAACAAACAATTAGGTAACACTGAGTCTAAACCTAGAACACTAGTCTTTATTACACTGATTAAGTGCAAGTTGTATAATTGCATACATATACAATTATCTGACTTAAAAAATTAAGTAGCAAAATACCAGGATTTACTTAACATTGCATGTTTATTTAGAATTTTTTTGGAAAATTGTGTTCTTTGCATTAAATATTTTCTTGAAAATTTCCATTTTTTAAGCCTATTTTGATGATTTGAATAATTGAGTACCTACTACCTATCCTACATATTTTATTTCTGGTTTGATTTCCACGTTTTACCACAAACAGTTAATGGATAATCTATATTATTTTCGTTTCCAGAATGTTATAATGTATAGGAATGTGTCATTAAAAAATACTAGTGTCGTAAAATAATTACGGATTTATCTTTTGTTAACTATTCCTTATTAGTTATTTCCATCTAACTTCATAATAATCGGTCTAATTTATCAATATATCATAATAGGTATGTCATCATGTTATAAGCTCATGGTTTTTGATGTAAATCTCAATAGTTTTTTTTCCCATTTCAAATTATTTTTGTTAAAAGTAGATAATCATGTTCTCTGTTTCTTAATTAATCAAATTGCAGAAGAATCCATCTAATATTATTGACCTTGCTCTGAATTTAATTAGTATTATTTTAATTAGATACCTAAGTTATAACGGTTTATTAAAATAATTATATAATAAATACTTTAAGTTTTATTACCAATATGAACAATGAACATAATAATATGTTTGTATTATTATATGTATATTCCCAGTTTTATTATCGTTTCTAGATATGATAAACATTAACTAATAAAGATAATGCATTTTATTGGTTTACATTAATTTTGTAATTTAGTATTCTAATTTCTTTCATATTGAACAGTCTACATTTATAATTTTTCATATAAATATATTTTTTTAACTGTATTAAAAAGTTGTGGATTATTTATTTTATCATTTTTTCAAATTGTACCTACCTAATTTTTTTTATTGATCTTGAAAAAAGTTCTAAAAATGTTGTGTTGTATACAGAAAGTGAAGTCAAAGGCTTATGATGATGATGATAAATTAGAACACTTAGTTTCCAACACAGAGTATAGAAAATTAACCACCTACAACTCTTTGAAAAAACATCCATCAAATCTATCAACTCCGTCGTGTGAACAAAGGCATAGAAGACGTCTTTCAGAAACATTAACATGGTGAGCAGACTTATTATTTTGTAAATATAAAATAATTAAAAACTAATATTATTTACATTTTTAACGGCTGCTATTTATTATAATTATTTTGGGTATAAATGATGAAACGATAAGTTAAGAAACTAATATTATTTATTTATTATTACTTATACTTATTCTTATTGAATATAGTTTATTCATGTACCTACATAGGTAGCTATTATTATATATTTATACCTTATTGTTTAAAATCAATACTTTTTATATTGAAAGGAAAAACATTTATATTTGAAACAAAATTATTTTATTGAAATTTTTGTACGACTTCAAGTATCCAATGAATTAGAAAACTTGTATATCAGTTGTGACTGGTTTACTTGTTTTTACATTATGATGAGAATAAAAGTTATCGCAAAATGGTAATATAATTAAATGTACTATCATCTAATGAAAGCAGATCATACACAGTCACTGTGTCCTTCATTGTATTTGTATTTGCAAATGCAGGGACTGAAGACATGATAAATAAATAATACCTACAACATACAATTATATACATTATTGTAAAGAAGTGATTTGTTATTATAATATTTGGTAACATTTTGGTTTTGTGTAACAACTAGACTTTGTTATAGTGCCATTGGTATAATAAAATATATTGTTAATTTATTAGTACTCGAACGTCAAGCATTAATTTTTTTGTCCATTAAGTACTTACATGTTTTCTATCTATTTTTTTACAGTGGTTTAGCAAGACAATGTAAAACTCACAGTCTTCCTTGTAATATGACATTAAAACATCCTTATAGTGTTTCGTCAGTCGATGCAAAAGATGTTGATAAGACTAAGGGTGTTTTGTCTCCTGGTATACTCCCGGAAGATTGGGCTGCCCAACTCACATTATTAGATTTAAATATATTTAGTCAAATATCTCCAGAAGAGTTGTCTTCGTGTTCTTGGAACAAGAAACAAAAATTAGAAGTTGCACCAAATGTAGTAGCATTTACTAGGCAATTCAATCATGTAAGTAAAAAAATTAAGTAACAATATATTTTTGATTGAATTTTAAACATGATAAATATTCAGGTATCATTTTGGGTTGTTCAAGAAATATTGAAAGGCACCACTCCAAAACTGCGTGCTGATCTGATCACTCAATTTATAAAGATCTCCAAAAAATTGTATGACCTTAATAATTTCCATTCATTATTTGCTGTTATTTCCTCCCTTCAAAGTGCTTCAGTTTATAGGTGAGTTTTTAATTCATAAGGTAATTAAATTCAAATTTCAAAATGTGTTATATTTTTGATTAGATTATCCAAATCATGGAACAATGTGTCGAAGAAAGATCGGCAATCATTTGATAAACTAGCTAATGTTTTCTCAGAATGCAATAATTGGAGGAATCTTCGGGATCACCTAGAAACCTTACGTTTACCATGCATACCTTATTTAGGTAAATAATAAATATATAATAATATAATAGGTATATTTATATACATTAATTTTTCTAATAATATGAATGTACATCTAGGTGTATTTTTGACGGATTTGGTATATGTTGATATGGCACATCCTCATAAAAGTAGTGGCTTATTAGAATCTGAAGCAAGACGTCTGAAAATGAATAACATTTTAAGAGTAATATCACATATGCAGCAGAGCCGTTATGATCATTTGATACGGTTTTCTAGAATAAATGATTATTTGAACTCTATTAGATATATTGAAGAACTACATAAGTTTGTTCAAGACGACCAATATAAGTATGCACTACAATATAGAAAATTATGCCTTAATTATTTATACTTCTCTATTTCGTGTATATTGTGTTTAGATTATCATTAAAGTTAGAACCTTTATCCTGCCAAACAGAAAACTCTAGAGGTTCCAAAGAATCTGTCAATCAAGTGTTGTTAGATTCATTGAGTTTATCACCAGCAAAATCAACAGATTTAATGCGAATAAGAAAATTTTCTTTATGCAAACAACAACAACAACAGAAAACAAATTGTTCAAAGTAAGTACACACATATATTAAGATAGATATTATAATACTTAAATCAAACATCTTTTATGATCTCTAAATATGGGATTAAATATTATCATCAACACTTAAATTTAAGTATAAAAAAATCTGACAATCATGCTTATTATTGTCCGTACATTTTTAATGGCTATCCTAGTCATTTTAAACATAAATTTATTTTTTAATCAGATATCGCAGTGCAAGTCTACCACGTAGTTTTCTTAAAAAACCTGTGAATCAATCTGCCGTGTGTAATAATAATAGGTAAGCAGTTAGGTTTTGGAGTGTTGATTCTTTGCACATAATTTTTTGTATGTTTTATCACAACTATTATAGTTCTTGCTGTTAACTATTTTTGCTTTTGGCTGAAAAACATAATTAATGTGCTTTTTTCAACTTATTAATTTTTGGTTTGGTAGTTTCTTATTTTATACAACTAAAAATGTACATGAGTATTTAGGTATTGCAATATTTTTAATTGATTATATATACATATATTTTAAAAATTCTAATTGTATGTTTTAAATTATATTTTTTCAATTAATTTTGTAGCTTATTAGTTTTTGTTTGTATTTATAAGTGGAAATAATTTATCTACTCTAATTTAGTTCAACCCCCTTTAAATACTGGTTGATTGTTGTACTATTGATTGGTATAAAACAATAGTTATATGTAAGAATGTGTGTTGTTGACACAGATACATTAATTCATAATGCATGTGTGTCAAGCATAAAATAATGTATAACTTCTATCATACTGACTATTAAATTTACATACTATGAAGTAAGATTGTTTTATTGTTCAGGAAGAAAATCAATAATTTTTTTTGTTTTTATTGGAGACAATAGGTCGGTAAACATATTTTGTAATATGTATTTTTATTTCTAAATGTACAAAAAGTTGTGTTAATTTAATTAGTGTTTGATATAATGGTGTTATTTAATTACAATTTTTAAATGTATATTCAATTATTGATTTATCACACAATATTTAACATTTCATTAGCACTGTTTAAATTGTTGTTTATTTACAGTCTGATTTTATACATCATTGATGTTATAATTTCAACTGACAAGAAAGTATAGTAATAGTATTACTACTTTTTCACTACAATAATAATAATTCAATTTTCATAAGACTATTCATGAATCAATGACTATCATGGCATTAAAAATTATATATTTCTTTATGGCTAAACCCCACTTTCTTACGCTGTATAGTATATAATTAGTAATTATCATTATTTTTCAGTATAATCATAAAATATAATATATTTGTGTCACTGGAGAAAATATTGTTAAGTTATTTTATGCATAGTTCATAAAGATACAGATAATTAATATAGTATACTAAAATTGATGTAACTTTTCATTATCTTATTTGTAAAATAATAATTTAATGTGTATTTTGAAAAATATAGAGTTAATTTAAACTTAATAACATGTTTACTGCTTAAGAGGACGTGATACCCGCATGTGTTGTCTCCGTCTTACAAGTGGGTAACATAGCAAATTGCACACTTTGCAGAACACGCGTAGCTCCATTAATTTAAAAATTAAAGTGAATTTACCTCTTATAAAATCTAAAAGTAAGATTATTATCTAGGCAACCTCATATGCTTTTTATTATATTTTTATTTTAACGCGAGTTATAAGTATTTTAAGATGTATAAAAAATTTACAATTTTAAAATACTCATAACTCGCGTTTAAATTAAAATATAATAAAAAACCTATGAGATTGCCTAGATAATAATCTTACCTTTAGATTTTATAAGAGGTCAATTCTCACTAATTTTTAAACTGACGGAGCTACACGTGTTCTGCTGAGCTTAAAATTTGCTATGTTACGCACTTGTAAGACAGAGACAACACATGCAGGTATCACGTCCTCTTAATATAAACATTAAAAAAAAAAAAAATATGAACTTTTAAGAACTAATGAGATATTTTTACATTTATTTAAAAAGATACTATTACTTTATAATTTCCTAGTTCATTAATTGTTTTTCTCATACAAACCTTATAATACTAGATGTTTTCAATCAGATATATTATCTTCAAATCCTAATAATGTACTGATTTATTACATTTACTTTCATTCAACATTTCTATAACTTTTTTAGTTTGATCCATAAGTCTGATGAAGGCATATTGTCAACTGTAAACTCAAGGAATTTACTAGATGACTCGCTCATAGAAGAGAATACATTAGATCTGTCTAATTTGAATCTATCACCCTCTCAGTGAGTACCATAAATTGTAGTGATCATTTTAATGGAGATACTAAATAAAGTGTATAACTGAAATTTATTGAAATTAATGTTTAAATAGAACATTGAAAGGAGCCCATAAAATAAGTTTAGAAAGTTGTTTAAGGCGTAAAGTGGTTTTGAAAAATGGACGAAAACCAGCTGTAACAACATGGCAACGTTATTGGATACAGCTATGGGCATCGGTTTTAATTTATTACTCACCCAAGTCTTTTAAAGGGTAAGTGTATTCCAAAATATCAATATGCATGTATTTATCATATTGTCTATTTTACAGTTGTAATAGAAATGACTTTAAACGAGAACCTTGCAAACTTTGTCCGTTAAAAGGATGTACTATTAGTCTTGGTGATAATCCAGATACGTTCTTAATCAAGCATCCTGATCAAAGTAAATATTTCAACTTGATTTGTTAGTACTATGAAGTAACATATTTGTCTTACTAAATATATTATTGTCTTAGGAAATACATATAAGTTTCGAGCCGAGAGTGACAATACAGCTTTACAATGGTACAGACGATTGTACCATGCAGCACAGTCAGTACACCAACCTGACACTAAATTACCAGATAACCTTATAAGTTTCGACTGATTAGTTTTAACATTTCATGTGAGTTTTTTTGGTTGAAGATAGAAAAAAAATCAATTTTAAAATCAGATTATTTTATGAACACAACCTTTGAGGCTATTATAAAACATTATAATATTATAAATAATAATATCCATGTGAGAGTTAAATTGTATTAAAAGTGATAATCGTTACCAAAGATGATTTTTAGATAGAATATACATATTATAAACATAAAATATTAAAATAAAGTTAGGTTAGTTTAAGTTGTTTAATATAGACTAAAATACTGCAATACATTAAAAAAAAACATAATATTTTGAAACACATATCAAATGTTTTAAAATTGAGGACTTGCTTTTTTTTGATAAACATTCTGTACATTTCCATAAGAAATACATAATTTTTTTACTTTTCTTGCCTCATCTGACTAAAAATAAAATTAAAACAACTATAATATATCTTGCCATACAAGAAATTGTGTTTCAATATACTTAATTGCACAGTTGATATTAATTGTTTACAAATTCAAATGTATATTTACTAAGAAATTTATATTTTAATTGCCTAGTATATTATCTTTATATTGAACTTTAGTATAGTGTTTTATACTTTTATGTTACTCTTCTGAAGTCTGACTTTTTTTAAAAAACATTTAGTTTAATTCATTGGTTTAAATTATTATTTTATTTTTTTTATATTTCAGTTTACTTTGATTTGCTGTTGGTTCTTGTGAAACAATAATTATTATCTTTAATTTAATAATATAATAGTGTATAATATGACTTATAATATATTTCAGTTATGAATATTTATAACTCTATTGTATTATAAACTTATTAATTATTATTTGCGCATGAGCCTCTTTTACTTGTTCTCCCAGTAGATTATAAACAGTTGTTGTGTTTAGTGGACACTAATCATGAAAATTTAAAAAACATATCATTGCATCTTAAAATTATTAAGTTTGCCATGACTAATGTTACTAATTTTATTGATTGTTTGAAAGTATTTTATTTTTTACACTACCTGTTGCTTATAGAATTATATGTATTTATAGTTATGGTTAATCTATCTACAAACGCTTAAATTAAATTCTGAAAATGCATATATAAATAGTCCCTAAAATAAAATTAAAATGGCCAATGCCTAAGTTCCTTATACTAAAATATCTATATAATTATGATTATGAAGTAAAGTTGTTCATAATACATTTTTTTTAGAAATTTAATTTTTAAAAAAACATGCTTTGTTAATATTTTTTTCTCAAGTTAACTGTATTTTTACTCACCAAAAAAATTAATTTTGTAGAAAATATGTTTTTTGATATCTTAAGACTTAAATCATACCCATAGAATCGTTTTTAAAAAACATCATTATTGAAAATAATGAAGTTAAAATAGCGATATCAACAATTACTTATTAATAATTTTTGTGTTATAAAATATAAATAATCAAATGTAATGTGCGAGTAGGTTGTGAACATACCTTAAATATTGGAACTCTATACATTTTATTCTTATACTATAGTGTTTAACGTCAACCTATTTACCATACATTTAAACAGTTTAGACATTTTGAGTATTATATAAAACTATTTTGAGTAACCATGAATCTTTTTAAATGTTATATTTTTGTACACTCCTGTTCTATTAATTTAATACAATTTTTGAATATTTTTTTTGATGAGACTTTTAAGTTTATTTATCATAAGGTAAAATGTCTCATTATTCACTAACTCATGATTCATTTTTACTTAAAAAAAAAATATATCTCTGCCCAAAAAGTAAACTGTACGAAAATATATTTACTCGAAAAGTATAAAATGTTGTGTTTAAAAGTTACTGTTTGTAAAACTATGACCTTTTTTGCACTGTCGTGGATCTATAATTTGCCAGTATAGCTTAAGATCTCCATAATAGCACATAAGTTGTAATTAAATAAATAACAATAAAATAAAACACTTTATTAATAATGTGAGTAATATTAAATGAATTTCATAGATTTATTAAAAGATTTTCATTATTGTATAATTAGCACAATGTGCTAATATTTTGGTTTTCCTACATAACTTGAGTTAAATTTTATTTGTTGTAATCAACGATATTAGCAATTGTTTTTTTTTTTTGTTATAAATGGATTCAGATTTTGTTGTGTTCATTTTTAATTTAACTGTTATATTGTTTTCATTTATCAGCATAATATAGCATATTCTTAAGGTGGTTAATCTATGATAATATGATTTTATTACTTAACCAGGAGTCTAATTTATTGTAAACAGTAGTTATTGTACTAAATTAACTTAATCTGATTGTTTTTAATGTATTAATTTTTTGAAGATGACACAATATTGTCATCTAAAGACATACAATGTGTATACTTATTACTTAATATGTTGTAGTTAGTGAACTTGTATTGTTGTGCTAAAAGCCTAAGTTGTTTAGATTTATAAATCTGAGTAAGTTGCAGACCTAAAAGTTTTATTTTGTTTAGTCTTTAACATTGTGCTGAAATAATAATTTTCTTGTGGACATACAATATTATACATTTGCATCAATCGATCTCAATTTAAAGAATACAATAATGTCTTTAAACAATATAATTTTAAAATATTGTAATGTAATTTAAGCAAATGCAAATAAACAAGTCAAATCTTAATAATCTGTATTCCAAGAAAAAAAAATATATACTATACCTACATAATGTAGTCCATTTAAAAATTATAATCTGTCTGTTGACTCATGAAATGGTTAACAAATGTATACTTACAAATTCCTTTTTCTACCAGCATTTAATTTAAATTACTATTATTGTTATTATACATGCTTGATGCTTTGCTCGTGCTTTTGTTCCAAATCAGTTAGCGATGATGTTCTAAATTATAATAGGAATGTAATCTTTGCGCCACTGTTTGTTTTGTTAAATTGTTGTGTTTGAAATTGGATATAAAGTGTTGATAATTATCGTTTAGTAATATGATAATAAAATGTACCTATGTATTAATTTAGTGATGTTCGGAAATGTTATACACCTATTCTGAAGACCTGATGTATGGTTACTATAGTTGTGTACTCGCGTATAAGACACTTTATTTATTTTATTCGTTTAGATGTATAAAAGCAATAATTAAAGGCTTAAGATTATTTGTTTGTACATTACTTATATATACTGTCCACACACTTGCCACAACAATAAAAACGTCCTACATGATATTTTTGTTTTATGTTTTTTTATTATTATCATTCAATTTATTTCCAGAACAATTTTTCGTAATAATCTAATTGTACGGTCACATTAAAAATATTAAAGTCTACTTAAAAATAATCCAAATTTTATGGATTGAGCAAATTTTTTCTGCTCATACTTCAGTAAAACAGCCATTGATAGAATGTATGGTTAAATCAAATTATTGAAAATGTTTTTCTCATTTTTTGATTCTATATGAATGAATTTAAAACCAGAGGAAAGTAAGTAGTTACCTACGTCAATACCCAAACGGCTCCCGTCAAAAAAGGTTTTACGAACAGGTAAATTCCCAAACGGCTCCCGTCGAAAAAAGTTCTTATAAGTTAGGTTAGGTTAGGAATAAGTTCTTCTAGAATCGTTCCACAGCAGATTTAACATCGAATTCAATTCTGCTCATCCTAATATTTTTAAGGTTATTGACATACTAACCGAAATACAATCCGAAACACAAATTAAAGCTCGAAATGGTGTAAATACACCAAAACCGACAAAAAAACAGGAGCTCATTGAAAACATTATCGGAGAATTTTCATCAAATAAAATAACTACCACAGATTATATAAAAAAATTGTGCATAAAAAATTTACCTATTCTATAATTTTTTTTTATATTTTTATACATACATTTTTTTCTATTTTTAAAACTTTTTTACATTTAATTCACAGAATATAATTTTTATAATTTAACCTTAAAAAACAACAACAAATTTTTAACCACACCTCTTTAGAGACAGTCCTAAGTCTTATGAAGTGGGAAGGAATTTGTGTTGTAAAAAACAGGATTATTACCCGGATTTTAGTAAAACTTTTTTCGATGGGAGCCGTTTGGGTATTGACCTGTTCGTAAAACCTTTTTCGACAGGAGCCGTTTGGGAAAATCGGGAGCCGAATGGGCTATGTCCGTTGCCTATTTTATATAGTTATAAATTATAATAAATAAGTTTGAACTTTAAGTCATAAGCTTTGTTGGTTAAAAAAAAGTACGATAGAAAACTGGCGAACGAAAAATGTCTATGTAATAAGTGTGTAAGATGTACGACATACTCTTAAAATTGTTATTTTAGATTCTATTTTCTAAAGGCATCTATAAATGTATAGATTTTACAATATGTTTTTTTTTTACTGTTTGCAGCAACTTTTCTGGTAGATCAGTGAATCTAGTGCGTTCGGGAGGTCAAAATTCAAAATTCCCAATAGTTTTAAAAAATGACAGGAAAAACAAACAAAAAAATAATAAAAACCGGATTTTGTAAGAAAAACCAGTTTTCGAAAAAATCAATTTTGGTTTTTAGTGTAACTCTAAAAAAATGACAATTTTCATTGAATGTTTGTTTCAATATTTTCTATACACCATACAATTTTCAAAATATTTTGATAACCTAATCTAACCTTGAATTATTTATAGGCATATGAAATGTTCGATTATTTGTTTTTTTTAACTACTATAAAAATGTTTTCGCTTGGAAAAAAACTTTAAAATATAATTTTAGGTTCCCCGTAAGTTGGTATTAGTGGAAATTAAAAAAAAAAGTTTAGAGTGAATCCACAATAATTCTTTATGAGCGTTTAAACTTAAAATTTTGTCAAAATTCTTAAAAATCACGAAAATTAGAAAATTATTTTTTATTAGAAATACATAAAAATGTTTATTTTTATTTCTTAGATTTAAAATTTAATTCCTTCGAGGTTTGTCCATCTTAATCAAAAAAAAAAATTTACCGGAAAGTCAAATTAAATATTGTTATGAGTGTTTGGAGTTGACATTTTTACAATTTTTACAACATTGGATATTCGCTCGACTATTCGTGTAGCGATTTTCTTATTTTGTGGTATTTATTCAAAAACGAATAACTGTAGACACTTGAAATTCACACCATATATTTACTTTGATATTCATATATTTGATAACATTTAAAAAATATTTTGACTCTTTTTAAGCTAAGCTAAAAGTACACCGACATTTTCAATTATTTTTTTTCTATAATATTGTCAATACCTACAATTTGTCAAATATTTCTGGATACATACTCGATTGGCATACTGTCTATCATTTTGAAGAGTAAAAGTATCCAGCAGCTCCAATTATGTAACTATTGTAGGTCGTTGTACAATCTGTGAGTCTTATTTTAACGGTATTAGGTCAGAAAAACCACCCGAAAATGCAAGGTAATTTTAAATAAAATATAGGTGTATGCATATAGGTGCAATTGTGCAAATCCACTTAGTACTCTGTTGGACTTCCAGAGTAGGTTAGGCTAATGTCCTCAAGTCCCTCTAAAATTATTTTATCAGTGACCCGTGAGTGGTTATATCACTCACACTTCCCATAAGTTACAAGTACTCTTCCACATCTTTAAAACAATTAATATTCTGAATTGTAATATTTATTTCATAAAATACATTGTGGGAACTAAGCATCCTTAGCACCCCTGGAATTTACGTCTATGTGTATATACATATTTTATAAATTAATTTAAATTTAATAATATTCAATTGTTACAAAATTAATTAATTATTGTCTACTTGAGCTATAATACCTACGACAGTCAACACTATATATTTTGTATTTTTCAAAAAATAATGAAAAGTTCTTATTTTAGATTGAGTTTATAAATTTACCTTTATACATACTTGTTACACACTTATGCCCATTAGTTCTAAGTTGCTTACTTTCTCATTCAACAAAAATAGAAGAGAATATGAATAATTATCATGATATTTAACATTAATCATAGACCATAGTATTAGTCTCAGTATATCATACTAGGGACTAGGCATTTAAAATACAAATCGTCTCTATTAATAGTTATGTGTTTGTTTGACATAATTTTGAAAATAGTATTTTTTATTGTTTAAAATGTGCAGTTACCTACCTAATTCTTAAGGAATTAATTACATGATATAATAAGTATTCAGCATTTAAAAATAAAAT